GCTGTGACGTATGTGGCCGACAAATTCGGCCTTCGAAGGACCCGGCCTGCCATTTTGGACACAGCATATTGTCCAAGATTAACCTTCAGGGTGGATATAGCTCGCTAGCAGCCTCGCACCGATGACCTAGTTGATGTCATCAATTTCCCAGAATGCTTTGCGTGTAAATAAAATGGCTCCGTCCATGTAATATATTTTAAAACTTTTAGTTTAAAAATGATAAAAACTAAACAGCGTACATTATTTTTATTTTACAGTTAAAGTATATGTTTTTCATATAAAGTCTAATGTTACAACTAATTGGGGATCCCTTTAAAGATGAAATACTGTTTTTTATGCTCCAAATTCTAACAAAGACGTTCATACGTTTGACTTTGATATTCATCTAAAATCACAGAGTTCTCTAAGTCAGCTTCACGTGTTTGTAATTTATCATACATATCTGCTAAATTTAATTCTCTAAAATCTATAATCCCTTTAAATTAAACAATAATTTTTGTGGAGAATCATGCCAGTTTGGTTAAACACAAATATCGTAAAAATGAATAAATATTTTTTCTGTGCAAAGAACTTCTTGTGCTGTAATTTTTTTAAAGAAATATATCAAAGCTCAGTTGAAACACTGAAATGACAGAGAAGAGCTGTTTAAAACCTATTTCTTTATGTCTTCAGTCCTAAGAACACTAAACTGTAACTTTTAATAAGTACACATATAGTTTACTCCTATTTAAGTGAAAATCTTTGACCTGTGTGCAGGAAGAAGCTTATGAATGTTGGCTAACCTCCAGGTATACAAAATTTTAGTAGCAATACCTTTGCTGCTTTAATCCCAGAGCCTTTGTTTCTGTTTCAAAGAAGATGAGGAGGAGAACAATTAAGTTTTACTAAATCAGCCCCTGAAACTGTCAACCTGCCGACTGAGAACATTTATATACAGTAAACTTTGTATACAGAACAAAATACTTATTAAATTGTATTTTTCTTGAGAATTTTTTGGAAAACCTAAATGTTTTGTGGACAACCAGATTTTGTCAACAGGCTGTCTGCTGGACATCCTGAAAAAAAATCCTTATGTCTACCCCTGATAAAGCCCATAATTAAAAGGGAATAAGATGAAAGTAATATGAATTAAACTTGCATATTTTGACATTAAGTATGTGTTAAATGGTTAAATTAAAATGTGTTTTCCATATCAAATATGCTAAAGATTTACAGATTATTTTTTATTGTGATACAGGGCTGCTCGAATATTGCAAAAATTATAATCACAATTTTTTTTTGATTGAAACTGAGATCTAGATTATTCAACAAAATTATTCATTCACCTTGATAACTTGAATTTATTGAACATAAACAATGGCTGTTTAAACAATGTTTCCCTAAGGATTTCAAATATTTTTGTTTCACTTTGTCTGTGGGAAGAGCCTGCGGCATAGTGTGGCACTGAATTCACAAAACAACATAAATAGGACCCTATAAAATCTGTTTTATCTTTTCCAAAATTCTGTTTTTTCTGTTTTTATTTTTCTAAATTCCACTTTTTTTCCATTTTTACCCTAAATTCCACATTTTTATTGTAACATATTTAATAAGTGCAT